AACCCCCCCCCCCCCTCAACAAGGTATACTATAAAGCAATGTGGGACTCCCTCCCAACAACCCTCCCCTCGAACAAGGTACACTATAGAGTCTCCCGTGAGGCCTATGGAGGCGGTCTTATAAACCCATGATCATTCCCTAAATAGTCAATGTGGGACTTCCTTCCAACAATCCTCAACAATCCTCCCCCCGAACAAAGTACACAATAGAGACTCCTCTGAGGCCTATGGAGGTTGTTGCCTCCCCTTAATCAAAGCTTAACTCCTTCTCTGGAGTCCTCGAACAAAGTACACTCTTTGCTCGACACTTTAGTCAGTTTTGACTACACCTTCGATGGTCACAACTTCTTTGTTTGACATTTGAGAACTCTATTGAAATGACTAAGTTAAGGGCATAACTTTGATACCATGTTAGGAATTACGACTCTTCATAATGGTATGATATTAAGCTGTTTTGGTTTTCCCCAAAATGTCTCATACCAATGAAGATGTATTTCTTACTTATAAACCCATGATCATCCCTAAACTAGCTAATATAGGACTCCCTCCCAACATGTTTTTCGACGGCAATCGCTCATTGATTGCTCCAATTCATGTGGGTTCCTTTTTTCTTACCCGACACATTGCGATTTTTGGTGCATTTCCCTCTCTTATTTTCTGTTCTGCCTATTCTCGCTGTCCAACTCTTCTTCGACGACAATCGCTCATTGATTGCTCTGGTTCATCTTCCCTCATAGGTCATGAGGGAAAGAAAACTTGCACAAGGAGATCGTCGTGATACCAGTGCCAAAAACGCGAACTTGCTCTCCAATGCTTCTTTGACACACATACATGCTTGAGTTTCCCATGATTTACATTTAAAACATAGCATTAACATCATTCTTTTCCTCATTTCATCTATACCATATTCCATGCATGCATTATGTATACATGGTAAACATCACGTAATTCATTACATAATCTTTACATGGCAAGACATAACATTTCTTACCTAGTATTCATTTTGGTCGTAAAATGATATAATAGATATCACATGCATACATAGCATAACATCACATTTCAATACATAAAGAACACAAGCATAGCATAAAATATTATGGTGCATGCAGGAGCCACGAGGCATGCACCATCATACATCATATAATTATCTAACTTCAACGGTAAGACTACTTACTTGGTTGGCCTTAGCCGAAGTTACTAATTACTCAGTAACTGTCTCAAAAACTATATTCCAACGCGTAGTTCTCACCTATATCAATTCATATGACATATTTAGGGCATATTAATATCTTAGTTAAACATGATGATTAATTTCAATATAAGCCGTTAAACTAGCTAAAATTGAATAAATAAGAGTCTTACTAACCTTAAATGCCTTAAATAAGACCAAAATGGCTTCATGAGGGTTGAAACCAGAAAAACGGTATAAAAATTTGTATATCGAGCCACGTAAGCCAAGAATTCAAGCCGCCAAGCCGTCAAACCGAGTCGAAGCGAGCCGCCAAGTCAAGCCAATGGAGCCACGAAGTCAATCCAAAAATAGTGCAGTTGAGGAGCTGATCACATGCTAGGCACGTGCTAAGTCGAGGAACGTGGGTCGAGCTTGGATGCGGACTGGGGCCTTATGGGCTGGGCCAACGTAAGTCTGGGGTGCGTGGATTGGGCGGACTCCTTTTTATATTTAATATATTAAAATTTATTAAAAACATACTCAAACATTAATTATATCATATATTTAAATTCCAAGTATTTAAGACTGACATATTATCTTAATAAATTTTGTTATACATTTCATTAATTTTAAAAATTAATTTAATTTTTTAACAAAATCATCAATAATTAGGAGAACGTGAAAAACTATATCTTTTTAGTTTTATATATATATATATATATTTATTTATTTATTTATTTATAAAATATAATAAAATTTTCAGGTTGAAAGTGGCTTATAATTTTATCTACTTATCTAATATTTATTCTTATTTTATCTAGCATTTTGTTTTTAAAGAATAACAAGAGGCTAAATAAATAAAAATATCTCAAAATTAGTCTAAAAAATACTTTAAAAAAAAAATGTCTAAAAAAATACGTTAGTTTTGGATGAAAACGTTAGTATTTTGATTAAAAAATACTAACGGTATTTTTTAAAACTTTTTTAAAAGTTCAATGGTATTTTTTTAAACAAGCCCGTGTTGGATGAAAGTACCACATTGACTAGTTTAGGGTTTCATTCAACATTGATTAATTTAGGGAATGATCAAAAAATACTATCTTCATTGACATACGCCTTTTTGGGAATGATCATCGGTTTATAATCAAGAAATACTATCTCCATTGGTACGAGGCCTTTTAGGGAAGCCCAACAAAGCAAAGCCACGAGAACTTATGCTCAAAATAGACAATATCATACCATTGTGGACAGTCGTTCGGTTTTCATCTAAAACTAAACCTTTTTTTTTTAAAAAAAATTGAAGTTTAAAAATTATGATTATTTTTTCAACCCTATTTTTATTAATTCTAAGGAATGAGAATAATTAAAGTGAGTAAGCAAAGGAAAAAGAGAAATGTGGGAATTTCAATGAGACACATTCTTGGGTGTCAAGCAAACAAAACTAAGGGTCATTTATATATACACAATAGAGGGTAGGTCTTAAGAGTAATGGAGCTGTCACGGCTACATAACAAGGATGCATTGGTCGAGATTATTACCCAAAATCTAAATTCCCATTTGGAAAATCTTCCCGATGATCTTGAAAGGAAAGACAATGGAGCTTCAATCTATAGAATACCGGACCATATAAAGAAGGTTCATCCAAAGGCATTCAAGCCGAAGCGGGTATCGTTCGGGCCATACCACCACGGGGAACTGCATTTGTCTCCCATGGAAAAGATGAAACATTTGGCACTTCGCTACTTCGAAAGGCGCTGCGGGTTGTGTGTTGAAGACATCGTGAATGAGCTGTGGGACATGTTGGAAGATCTGCAGAGATCATATGATAAACTTGATGATGAATGGAAAAAGAAACCAACCAAGTTTTTGGAGGTTATGATCTTGGATGGTTGTTTAATGATGCAAGTCTTGTTGGAGGATACCGATGTATCGAAATTTACTACTACGGATGTACTACGAGATATGTTGCTGCTCGAGAATCAGCTGCCCATGAAGCTTCTTGACAAGCTTTATTTGATGTCAATGCCGGAGCATAACAAAGCATGTCTATTTCTACTTTTACTTTCTAGTAGTAATAGCTCAAGTCCACCGCTAGCAGATATTGTTCTCTTTAGGCTTTTCCTTTATTGAAGATTGTTGGGAGGGAGTCCTCCGTTGCTGGGAGGTGGGAGGGAGTTCTACTTTGGCTAATTTAGGATGAGCGTAGGTTTATAAGTAAGGACTACATCTCTATTAGTATGAGGTTTTTTGTGGAAACCAAAAGCAAAGCCATGAGAGTGAGTTGTGGTTCCTAACACCCTTTTGAGCTTCCTCTCGTCTGCTAGGGAGCGATTTCCAGTTGGAAAGGAGAACGAAGCATTCTTTATAAGGGTGTGAATACCTCTCCCTTTATAAGCGTGTGGAAACCATGAATGGAAGCTAGAAAGGGAAAGCCCAGAAAACAATGCTAGGGGTGGACTTGGCCCAAAGAGGACAATATCGGCTAGCGGTGAACTTGGGCTTTTAAACTAATAAGGCTGTAGAAACCTCTCCCTAGCCGACACTCTAGCCGTGGACTTGGGCCCTTACACTAATAAGGGTGTAAAAACTTATCCCTAGCATAAAGATACGAAAGAATCAAAATCCAAAAAATCTTCTTTGTAGTTATAATGTCCAAATACCAAGTCGGCTCATTCGTATTTATATTGATCATTAGGGGCCTCTTGAATCTTCTATTTAACTACTTTTTTTTCTTTGATTTTTGTATAATGCTACTTTTCTCTTGTTTTCTTTATTATTGATAGGAATTTTGTTGTCGTGTTTTAAAAATCTTGAGGAAAATCTCGATGGGGAAAGCCTAAAGAAAAAAAATATGTACTAACTGTGGGCTTAGGCCGTTACATTAGGACTATTTTATTTACCATCTTATTGCTTCTAACTAATATAATTATGTTTGATCATTTGAAACACGGGTTGTGATGCATGCACAGAAGGTCAAATCGCTTGTTTGGGAGTTCAGGAACTTACCCACGGAGGTAAAGAAGACGTTATTGGAGAGAGACTACTTGCACCTTCTAGATATGTATAGGGCAGAATTGGTTTTCTACAAGGGGAACGAATGGAAACCACTTCAACGAAGCCACTTGGGAATGGGTCATGAGATTCAACTAGCCACACGCTTCCATAAAGCTGGGATCAAGTTCAAGAAAGGGTGTAACCTTATGGACGTGTATTTTGATCGAAAACGAGGTGTGTTAAGCCTCCCGTTCATCGAAATGAATGCTCATATTGATTCGGGATTAGTGAACGCGATGGCATTTGAGAAACTTTATGGGATTGATAACATAGTAGACTCTTTCGTAATCTTGATGGGTAATTTAATGGAGAAAGATGAGGTAGATTCATTCAATCAGCTAGCCAAAGGTGAGGTTTTGGGCATGTGGGGCCACTACAATTACGTCTACAATTCAGTGAATGAGCATTGTAAAAGACCATGGAGAATATGGTGGACGACTCTCAAAGATGTCAACTTTCAAAGTCCCTGGACGATTATCTCTACTCTTTCTGCTTTGATCGGTTTTGCGTTCCTTATTATCCAAACCGTATATGGAGTGTATGGCTACTACATGCCACGTCGATCTTGATCCAACACCACTCATATGCTTTGGTTTCAATCATGTTTTAGTTATTTTGTTTTCTTATCGTATTATTTGTGTGTGTGGAGATATCCTATCTCTAACATTATCTCTTCACAATCTCGAGCTTCAAAAATTTCTCTTCTAAGCTCCAAAGTCGTCTCCAAAATTTTCCAATTCATCTTTATTGTACGTGCATAGAAAATCTTCCAAAATTGCATTCCAAAACAAGATATATGTGTAGGAAAAAAATGTGTGATAGAATTTGCCATCATCATGAAATTCATGTTAAAGGGTTACTTATAGATATATGTATAGGTACATATATATACATGAAGGTTTATTAGTTCATATTTAATTAACGGCATGGTTTTGGTTTATACATGAATCATACTTAATTAAGCGCATGACTTTTGGATCAGGAATGATAGGGAAATGAAATTACTTATTATACATATGTTGGCATTGGTGGAAAAGGTAGAAAAACAATTTAGCATCATTTCTAGTAATGCAAAGTTCTCTTCTCCTAAAGTTCTACCAAATTTCTCTGTTGTCACCAACAAATGGTATCAAAGTGATCTTGCAACAACAAGAATGACAGTAGAAATACAAGTTGATAACTTTGTTCAACCTGTCATCCCAAGATTTTATAGTCACTGTGATCATTGGGCAATGTTGATGAAAAATTTCTTTAGATCAAAGAAGTTCTTTGATATGGTGGAGACGAGTTATGAAGAGACAAGTGAAGGCGAGCTACTCTCAGCTGTTCAACAGCAACAGTTGGCAACATCAAAGTTGAAGAACCTGACAGTTGAGAACTCTTTATTCCAGTCCATTGATCAAAATATCTTGGAAACAATGCTTTAGAAGAAGATGTCCAATGAGATTTGGGATTCAATGAAGAGAAAGTATCAAGTATCAAGTGTCAACGACTTCAAACAATTAGAAGAGACTTTGAAATTCTCCAAATGTAAAAGGGAGAATCAGTGAATGATTTTGTTGGCAAGGTTATGAGTCTTGCAAATTAAATGAGGACGCATGGTGATTCAATCACTGATGTTGCAGTTGTAGAAAATATTTTGCGATCTCTAACTTCAAAGTTTTATTCTATTGTATGTTCTATTGAAGAAGCAAATAATGTTGAGGAGATGCAAATTGATGAACTTCAAAGCTTTTTGCTAGTGCATGAGCATAAGCTCAAGCGCACGAGTGCAATATAGGAAATGACAGCCTTAAAGATATTCACACCAGGTGAACTTCAAGCTTCAAAAGTAGAGGGCAAGGAACAAGCAAAGGTCGTGGAAGAAGCGGTTGAGAAAGAAGTAGAGATGTTGGCAGGTGATCAGATCTAATCAGAGGCGATTATGACAACAAAGGCAAAGGACATTTTGACGAGTCTAAGGTGGAATGTTATAGATGTGGACGTCTTGGACATTCCAAAATGAATGCTATACAAGGCTGAAAAAGGAAAAAGGAGAACAATTCAAGTTTGTGCAGAAAAGAGAAGAAGAAACGTTGTTGATGTCATTCCATACAATGAAGGTTGCAGATCAAAGCCTAGAGCTCTGGTATCAATTGTAATGACCTTAGATTTTTATTGACCTAAAGTCGCTCCCGTATACATAATCTAACTATTTTATGCGAAAATAATCATTCGAAACATAATAATAAAACATTTTCATGGACTTACATATTTAATAAAAGGTTTTTAAAACAAATCAACGGAAAATTAAAATAAATGTGAGTAAAAATAAAACAGAAATACCCTATACTAACCTATAGTCTACAAAATTAAATACAACTACCCTATGTATGTCCCATGGTTTTTAAAGTTGTGATGCCTCCATCAATTGTGCACGGGACCCTTGCCTTTACCTGCAAAAAAATAAAAATACAAAAAATAAAAATAGCACGTGATTTGAGTATCTAAGTCTACCTTAAGAAATACTTAATAAGTGAACCCACTATTGGAGTTAGATGCAAATACATACAATCGTGAATGAGACCTATCATTTAAATTAGTATTCTCTTAAGTGACTATCCTATGTCGGACTAGCATTCTCTGGTGCTCTTGTCGAACACCCAATAGGAATAGTGACCGTTGTAGTATTATGATAAACATAATAATCATTTTTCTTTTTGTAATGTATGTGTCTGTACCCATCGTAAACGGAGAAATTTCCCGATGCATGAGGTCCCAACATTTTTTTCATTTATTAAACCATGTATATCATTCCATTTTCCCTTCATATCATATCATTTTACAACATAGCCTTTAAAACATGTATCGGGGTTGAATATTGTATCATTCATACTATACATCTTATTATGTCATGTCATGCACATAACATGTCCTTCAACATATCATATTATATCATACACGTATCATATCATAAAGCATGTCACATGTCACATGTGTTACACCATAACATATATGATATCATTAGTACATCATATCACACCACATGTCATAACATTAACATATCATATCCTAGTCATATCATATCACAGACATATCATAGTCATATCATTTCATAAATATTTCACACATATCAAGTATATGACATGTGCAGAACCACGAAACATGTATCATCCTTCAAACATAAACTTATAAACTTATAAACATGTCGATAGTCAGACCACTTACTTGGTTGGCCTTAGCCAACGTTCTCCCTAAAATAAATGTTGAGCCTATCCTTTCAAGCACATTTCAAGTGTTGCCGAGATACCTCCTATTAGAACAATTACTCAATTTCTGTAGTAACTATAGTTTCCTAATCTAACTTAACTTAAATTGAGGAATTGAGCATTATACTGATCATAATCGCCTTAAATAAGGTTGAATTCAACTCTGGGAGGGTAAAAAATGTAGAAATCAGTATCAAATAGTCTATACCGAGCCGAATGACCAAATTTTGAGACGACAAGCCGAGTCAAGCCAAGCCGCGTTAAGCCAACTAAGCCGAAGGAATCGGTAGAAATAGGTGATGACACATGTTGCTAGGAGGGATTGACGTGCACCCGAGTTGCTAATCGGGTCGAGGCACGAGTCTCAAGTTGCTTTTCTCGAGCACGTGGATCGGTGTTACTAGGCCGTCCAAATTGTGGGCCACTCGTGATTGTTGGATCGTGTACTGTTGTAGTGTGTCTAGGCTGAGAAGTAGATTGTGGGCTTTGTGGTATGAGCGCGGCCTTAGGTGGGTTATTTTCTTGACCTAACTCGCTCTAACCTTAGAATTTTGTTTCTCTCTATTCTCCGAGACATTCTTACTCTCTCCGAACTTACTAATATGTTGAATGACGAGATGGGTGTGGAAGTTAGTTAAAAAGGGATAGGGCATGGGTTTTGTCGTGTAAAGACATTCATATTTTCACTAGTCGAAAATCATGAGACTTCTGGCTATATTAAATATTGATTTGAACCTTATAAATTAAATATATTTTTCTTTTTTTTGTATGTAACATACTTAATATATTAAATATTGATTCGAAGAACCTTTCAAATTTTTCATTCAAATAAATGGATCCTTTAGTGATATTATGAGCTAATAGGAGGACTTAACCGGAAAATTTCTTATAGACAAAAGTTCATAATTCACTCAAGATTAAGATCGAGTCACATATGATCTTTTATTAATAATTTTCTCAATTAATGAATTTATAAATAAAGATTAAATATTTTGAGGTCCAATCTTGTACAAACTCATTGTATAAAATATCTCCACTCGTATGTCCCTAAAAGAACTACTTTGAGTGGTATCAATAGACTATATAGGTTATTTCTTGAACATGATCCTAATTGCTATTCAAGATAAAATAATAATCATTAATTACAAAGGCTTTTATGACTTAAATCCCAAGAGATTCCTCATCCTCATATATGTCAATCTTCTCAAACCAAACAATTTGCAGCAAATTTCCTTCCTTGATCACATATCTAAGTAGGAATTTAATATCTACTATGCTTAGATTTGATGCAATTTGAATCCACATAGTAGCACACATCACATAACTATTCATTATATAATAAAACATTCGATAGAATGAGCAATAACCAAACACTACTTTTCAATCTCCAACTAAAACAGAGGGCGTTAGAAAAGAAGAACCGGATCGATTCAATAACTAATCACTCGAAGACCCATCGTCAATCCCATCTTCATGATCTCTCACCACTTTCTCGATTATCTTTTAGAGTACGTCTTCGAGCATGGATTTTCTCGATTCATCGTTTCCAAACTGACCATCGTTAAGCATTGGATCTGCTTGACAAAGAAGTAATGCAACACCTGAAAACCAACAACCAAGAATTACGTGATCATTTGCAAGATATTGAGCTTGCAACCCGAATATGGCTACAACTTAATACAACTTCAAATACATGGTTTCAGAAATTTATCATCTGGACATATCCTTCATAGTTGGCAGATAAAATACTTCGAGTAAACTTGACGATATTGACGGTAGCTTTTTGAAGGTTAGAAGTTAGGGAGGCATCCAATTCCAACCAGTAGAGTTAAGATGCTTGATGATGTGCGTAATATATATAGTTTAATATATGACGTACTTGATAGGCTTGATGCACTTTTTGGCGATATAATGAGTACGATGATTGCATGACGTTTGTCTTAATATGTTGATATTTTCCATATAAAGCATAGACCGACATAGGACACAACCCTAAAAGCATAAAAATGATATTAATATAAATATCAAACGAGCATGTGTTCCTTAATGTAACAAAGAGATGAGACTAAAGGGTTGTGTCATAAGAGATGATAAGATGGAATATAAATATCAAACGAGTATGATGATGAGGGTGTTCATGGGGAGCAAGACACCAAGGGGTTTCGCTGACCTCCAGACGTCGCTACAAATTAGCTTATCAGAGAAGGTCCAGGGGGTGTGCGAGCCCCATAGGGATTCACACTCGTACGTGTGGGTCGTGTGTAGGAAAGTACTACACATCTATATTAGTCCGAGACTGAAGGCCACCCTTAGAGAATAGAGATAGGTCCCAAGAGCATGATTGCATGGGTTTGCATTTGCATGACCCCTATCGAGGGTCCAGTCACTAAGTATCCTTAGAAATACTCAGGTCGTGTGCCACATCATTTTTTCAGGTAAAGGCAAGGCGCACATGTATGGGGGGTGGCG